CCTGGAAGCCTAATCCACTATCTTTAGAAATAAGAAGAATTTAAATCAAAATAATCATAAATTTACATTTACCGAAGGCGAGGGATGGTGAATTTTCACAATCTGCATATTTGGTCACAAGAAAATCCTCATGAAATTCGAACAAGGTCTTTTTAACCCAAATTTTCTATGAACGTATGGCTCTGAATAATTAGTAATAAAGTTTGTGCACATTTCTTCTTGCCACCTCGTCTAAATTGCCAGTCATTTCTAAACTTTCTAGAAAACCATCTATTTGAATTATTATAGGATGTTCCATTAAATATGTGACAAAATAGCTGGATACAAAGGATGGTGCTCCTGCGCGTTCTGGGAGAATAATATAAGAATGGCTTAATTAAAATTATATGGGGCGATGGATTGGTAGAACACCAAATGCCAATGTCTACCATAATGGTGCAGAGGGTCCAGTGTCTTGGCCAGCCAGATTGCCCTTATCTAAACCCCCTGGACTTCTATGTTTGGAGTTATCTGAAAAGTAAAGTTTACTCTATTCCAACAGATAGAAGACCACAACAAATGCAGCAAATAGAAGACGGGTGTAATGAATTAAAAGAAAACCACCACACGATATGAGCTTCAATTATTTCCATTAGTAGAAGATGTCAGAAATGTATCGATGTGGGTGGTTCGCATTTTGAACAATTGTTGTAAATACGTAACGTTAATTTTGTTTCCTCATTAGTTGCTGTTGCTTGGTAAATATATTTTTATTATTATTTTGATTTAAATTGTTCTTATTTGTAAATATAGTACATTAGGCCTCCAGGGGATAAAAAATGCAATGGTGTAGGTTTTTTTTAAAAGGGGTATCACTGTCCAGTTGTACACCACTGGTTGAACCTTTAGAGCTCATATTTTAGGGAATGCAAGTCTTACTATCATACATTATCTGTACCAAATTTTATTGAGATCGGTTAATAGATTTCACGAGATATAATCAGAAAATATTTTTTTAACCTATGTTTATAAGGCAAACACATACTATTTTAAAGAGATTTTAAAGAGATCTATCTGCCCCCGAAGTTTTCTGCATAAAATTCGGACCACCCTGTATAGCGATTCATATGAGAGACTAGAGAATAATTGTACTAACGTTTAAACGTTATTTAAATTAAAATTCATACAACACTCTAGTCTAGAGGAACGTTAATGAAATATCTTGCATATTAAAAACAATTCTGTAGTTGGAAAAAGGTACCTATACAGTTTTACCGAAAATAAAATATTTATTTTCTTAATTTGGTATATACGTAAAATAATAATCTAAATAAAGAATATAAAATGCAGACGCTACTGAAATTATGACAATAAAAAAATACAAAGCTGCTAATATCTTAAAGTTATAGTTTTTTTTATTACATCGAAATTACAGCTCAACCAAATACAACAAAAAATTACATAATGTATCTTCCGATTGTCTTGTTCCTGTCATTACTAGGAATAAAATTTTATGGCCGATTTTTGCCGATTTTTTTTCCATTTATTACGCAACTTATGAAAAGCGTACTTCCTTAATACATAGTTTGATAAAAGTGGATACACTGGTTTCAAAGCATTATGTAGGTTATCTCATTACAAAATTTATATTCTATCGATTATTCCGGTTATTTAGTCCATGAAGGTTTATCATGGACATTTTATTAAATAATATATTCTATATAACACTTATACTCTTTATTACATGCAAATAAAACATAAATATTGGATTTATAGGAGAGGACGATGATTTTGATTGTACTGGTCGATGTATCACAAATTTTTAATGTTTGTATTTATTTATATTAACAGTTATAACCAGTGTGAAGTAACGTATTGTTTTTAGATAAATTAGTTATTTTTTTATTACACTAATATCAAATAAAAAATACCGCAAACTAAGTGCTATAGTAATTGTGCCACTATGCAAGCCGCTATGATTTTTTTTTTTTTTGAGGGGTAGTTTATTAGTGATATCATATTAGAGATATACGGGGCTTTTCGCATAAGAACCGATACAGAGCAGGGGTATGTAGGGAAACCCAAAATATGGTGATTTAACGCAACTTACCTTTATACTAAGCTGGACCCCTGAGAAGTTATAGGTATTGAAAGTGGGGTTTCAAATTTCGAAAAAAAAACATATCTCAGTTATACTTGAACTTGGAAAAACCAAATTTGGTACACGATATGAGTGTACCAAGAGCATTAATCGACAGTAAGTAGAGTTCAATTGAAGCATTCTGAAGGATTGATAAAGGATGATGCTATTAGTGAAGGAAATTTCTGTGAAGGAAACTACAGAAGTGTTGAAGAATATCGGAGATTTCCAAATAGTGTAGCCCTCCTTAGAGAAACATTTTCCAATATTGAAAGACGGGTTCGAGAAACAGGCAAGTTTCTCAGTAACACTCGGGAATGTGTTAAAGACGAAGAACTTATTTTGAATACAACTGAAGATGACTCACATATTAGTACTAGAATTCTATCTCGACAAACTGGTAAATCACAAACTTCTATGCACCACGTGATCAGACGTAATCTACTACACCCATTCATATCCAAAAAGTGCAATTATTGTTAACGAATGATTTGATTAAACGAGTGAATTTCTGTCAGTTTATTTTACATCAAGTCATTAATATTCAAAAGAAAATTCTCTATACTAATGAAGCTTGTTTCACCCGCAGAGATATTACACATTTACATAACTATCATGAGTATCCCGATGTAAACCCTCAATCAGTAACTCCTCGACATTTCCAACGCGAGCTTAAAATAAATGTTTGGATCGGTGTTATTGATCGGTATTTACCCAACTGGTCCAATTATTTAGAATTTCTTCAAAACACTCTCCCGGATCTACCTACTTGACGAGGTGCTACTACAACTCAGACTGGAACATTGGTGAATATGATGGAGCAAGCCCTCATTTTAGTAATATTGTTAGAGACTTTTTAAACCACCAGTATCCAAATAAATGGATTGGAAGAGGAAATAATTGCCCACAAGTTTAGCCTCCACGATCACCAGACCTCAACAAATGAGACTTCTTTCTTTGGGAAACGTTAAAAGAATTTGTGCGTTCCTCACAAATTGCGTCTCTAGCAGAATTGTGGAATCTCTTTACGGAAAGAGACAATCAGCAGTTATTGAAGAGAGTAGACTTCAATTCTCGACGAAGAATAAATTTATGTCTGAGAGAAAACGGTGATAATTTTGAACAATTTCTATAACTTATCAGTGCAAATTGTATGTTATTTCTGTGGTTTAAGTTGTTTGTTTTCCTATTAAATTATTCTTATTCCAACTTTTTTCCTAATCGTCAAGTTTGAAGTTTAAATTCATAGCCAGCTTTTGAATTTTCCGTGATTTTAGAGAACACATTTACAATACAATTATCAGTTATATGTGTTTTTGATGAACACGACAAAGTTTTTTGTAAACTAACAGGACTAAGAAAAGATTTAGAATTAAATTCCCCATAAAATAAAGTAATAATTTTGTAAGTCCGCCAAAGAGTAAAAAAATTCTGTCATATTTTAATGGTGTCTAAATTTTGATTTTAAAATTTGTATTAGGACATTATTTGAGGTTAAAAACAGAATTGTTATATAAAAATGTTATGTAAAATAATAATAATGGTACTTCTCTCTTGAGTATTTTCGGGTTTTTTTAATTTATGAGCACCCTGTATATCTAATCTAAGATGTTTGTATGACAGTCTCATTTCTGCGAGGGGCAGAACTTTTTATAAAGACTGACATTTTTCGATAAGTCAAAAACAAAAGAGTTTCTCCTCTTGTCACCTTTATTGTACTTAAATTCTCAAGTTTTTAATAAATTATTTTATTAAAAAAGTAAAAAAAATCTTATTTAACGATTTTTTGTATAACATTTTCCTTTTATATTTTTTAAATAAGCCATTTCGATGAGAAATTCAATTCTCTACAAATTTTTTCCTGTGAACTATACCGAAATTTTGCTTCGTTTTCGTGCTATATTTAAAAAACTGCAAAAGTGCATTTTCGCCCCTATCTTCAATTTCAACCCTCTAATTTAATAGCATTTTTCATTTTTAATGGCTTCGAAGTACGTGATGAAAATCCTTGAACGACTTATTTCCTTGCTTTTTTGCAAAAAATGATAATTAAAACGTATAAGGGTAAACGCGACGAAAATCGAATAATTGGCTAAGTTTGTGCGGCCATATATCAGTCAATTTACATCCAAAAATACTTTACAACCTCTTGTTTTGAAGGAAATATTATCTAGTTTCTTTTCTATGAAGCAATCAATGCCTGTACCTATCTTTACTAAAAAAAAACTAGAGGCAAAAAAGTAAAAAAAAATCAGAAAATCGAATTTTTTTGCTTTTTTCAAATTGTTTATTAACGATTTTTTTGCATAAAATTTTGCTTTTAATTTTTTTAAATAAGCTATTTCGATGGGAAATTCAATTGTCTAAATAATTTTTCCTATGAATTATACAGAAATTTTGCTTTATTTTCGAGCTAAAATTAAAAAACAGAAAGGGGTGCATTTTCACCCCTATCTCCAATTTCCACCCTCTAATTTAATAGCACTCCGCGACTTTTTCATCTAAAATGACCATTTGAACGATTCATGTAATAAAATACCTTGAACTTCATAGTTCCTTTAAAATCCTCTATTCAATAGCCTATTAGTAAATGTGTAAATCATACCCTCGACACACTCGCGATCCTTTTAACAAAAGCAAGAAGGAATTTCAAAATTCCTGGCTTTCAGGTATTTTTAATGTCAACATTATTTATCTGGATCAAACCGGTGTGGTGAATTAACATTTGTTCTACTGCATTAGTTTCGTTTAAAGGACAGTGAAAAACAGTTGCCTAACGAATTGTTACAGAATAGTTCATTCAACAATTCTTGTAACGCATATCACAGATACGTACATACCTGATATTGAATAGTTATATTAATAAATTACTGAAATTTACCTGGATTTGTGAAGCCTATGGAAGAATTAAAATGTGTATCTCCATCGATGAATATCCTGGAAACAAAGGAAGTGCAAATTAACGATATTTTCTTGTAAACTGAATAAAATGAGGTCATGGTCATTGCTTGTAACAATAAACATGTTTTGTCTACAAAAAATTCGCCACAAATTACTAAATAAATAATTAATCTGAATTTTTCGGAGAACTATTAAATTCGACTAATTTTCGAATAATTCATTGGAATTTAAGTTAAGTTAAAAGATAACTTAAAATTAATTTCAGGAAAAAACATACTACTAAGAAACTTTTTACGTGTTATGAAAGTACTTAGAAATACCTGGTAGTAATCATTTTGGGACGTGAATATACGTATTTAAAAAAATTAAATGGTTCTTTACTTTTCTAAATTCTCTGAGGAACAGCAGGCAACGAATTTCTATACTACAAATTTTCCGAAAATTAATTATTACACAGCCCCACAAAAAAAGTAATGTAATGACATGATTTGTATATTTTTTTTAATGCTGAAATCCGAATCCGCGGGCCAAAAACCGATTCACCAGGACATTTATTAATAAAACGCTAAAACATCCCAAAAAATAATCTGGAATAGTGACGATAAGGTAAATCTTTATAACGAAAAGTAACAATTTACAAAAACTAGAAAACAAATTATATAATATTTTGAGCATTAGAAAGAAAAATACGGAAAATCAATTCACACCCACACCAATGAGGGGGTTAATTCAACGCCAAAGATCAAATAAGGAATGTTAGTACAAAACAATGTGAAATCAAGCCCATCGCAAATTTTCAAGGGGTCATTTGACCCAGCATGAATTACATACTTATAAATCAATACCACCACATATAACAAAAACTTTAGAAACTATGCCGGCAGGTGAGTACACAGGTAAGCTAAACCTGTCCACCAAGGGGGGATGGTTTTCGGCAAAACATTTTTGTACGGCATTTCTAAAGTATATAGGTTATACAAAAAAAAATAATCTCGACCTAATGCCGTATAAAAATAGCAATACCGAAAGCCAGGAAAATTTTTATTTTCCGAAAATTTTGGTCCGGGTGATTTATTACAGTTTACAGTACGGCATTTATACTGCAAGTTTCGGATCGATATATAGACAAATTTTTAAGCGACGCCGTACGTACTTGCTGATACAGGGGTTAGGAATACAGGGTGTAACCCTCTATTTGTAAGTAGCGTATGGAGGGTGATTTGAACCAACATCAAATTCACTAATTTTAATTCTATTTTATAAAATAATGACATTTTTGGCCATGCCGTACATTTTTCATGAAACGTGCTTACTATAGGAAAATTAATTACCCTCTGAAAAGTAGGATTTCACGGTGAAAAATTTTTGTACGGCATTGGACAAAAATAATACGATTTTCCTTATGCCATTTTTTATTTAGGCGTCCCTGTTTCAATATACAGGGTGTTAAAGTTACATTTTAAAAAACTATTTTTGTTAATAATCCCATTGTTTTGTAAGATACACACTTGAAATTTTGCACGTACTTTTATCTTATTCTGGCACACTTATCATGTAATTTTGGTGAAAAAAAATCGAAGGGCGAATGGAGGTAAGTGAGGGATGCACTACCCTTTATCCCCTCCCAATTATTTCTAAGTACGGCTATGCAGCTTTTTCTTGAAACGTAAAATTTTCTTCTGATCATTTTATCTCTTTTGTAAATTTTTGTTTAAATGCTCTGTTTTGGAGAAAAACGACATGTATTGATAGGTTACAAATGTCTTAGCGGCCGATGAATGTCAGGAAAAAATAGTAAGCTGTGAAAACAAATGTCCACCATGTCAACATAATGACATTAGTTACTATTAATTCTTTGATTCGGCAAATCGAGAAGTAGTTATAGTCCAGACGGTATCTGTTTCAAAAAGCCATATTTGGGTGAATCGTATATCCACGGAGATTTTTGGCTTTTTGGCTTTCAAATATCACTAGAAATGAAAATTTTTCTATGCGCATAAAAAAAACGTGGGCTTAACTTTTGGCGGCACAATATGTTAAAAAAATTCGAAAAATGTCATATTTTTCTTCCTATTTAATTATGTATCTTTTCAAGAGTTGATTTTAGGCGAAAATGGAAGAGGAAAAAAATGTTTGTAATTAAATTTTTTACAAAACATGACTAGTTACAAATCGAATGAATCATGATTATTATGGTAAAAATCGAAAAAATCGCAAAAATGGGGTTAAAAAACAATACTTTTTAGGGAATTTTTTTGGGGTATTTAAATTGGGTATAGGACCTTTATACTTGGCTCAAGAAAACTTCATGTTATGTAGAATCATCACACCAAATTTCATCAAAATCGGTTCGATAGATTTTGCATAATAATTTTGCAATCCAGATTTTGAAAAAAAAATTGCAAATTTTCAAAATTTTGCACAGCAAAAACCAAGGCCCTTAGATACTTGAAAATTTAATCACATATAGAAGGGCTCTCAAGCTTTCAAACTTTTTTTGAAAAATTCGAATCCGTCAATTAGGAGAGCTCTGGCGCTTGTTTAAACATTGGTCGAATTTTTGTACTTATAAACAATTAGAACTTTGTGAATATTCAATCAAATCAAATTTTTTAAAGCAGGTTTTAAAAGTTCTTGGAAAGACGCTTTTTTAAAAAAAAACAGATCGATTGATCAATTAGTTACGTAGTTATAGCCGATTCAATTTCGAGCAGGCCGAAGCGGCCGCGCTCTCTGCTTCCCCCACCACCACCACCCGTACGATTTTATTGAATTTCTCGCTTGCATAAATAACTTTAAACACGTTTTAAAGTAGGTTGCCAATGAAGAAAAGTATTGTAATCTTAGACCTGGTAAGTACTCGGAATACCAAAGGTATTTTTCGAAAAATTAGCCCGGATGTCCCAGTACATTTAGTGTAAATGACGGCTATAACTATGTAACTAATTGATCAATCGATCTTTTTTTTTTAAAGAAGCGTCTTTCCAAGAACTTTTAAAACCTGCTTTAAAAAATTTGATTTGATTGAATATTCACAAAGTTCTAATTGTTTATAAGTACAAAAATTCGACCAATGTTTAAACAAGCGCCAGAGCTCTCCTAATTGCGGATTCGATTTTTTCAAAAAAAGTTTGAAAGCCTGAGAGCCCTTCTATATGTGATTAAATTTTCAAGTATCTAAGGGCCTTGGTTTTTGCTGTGCAAAATTTTGAAAATTTGCAATTTTTTTTTCAAAATCTGGATTGCAAATTTATTATGCAAAATCTATAGAACCGATTTTGATGAAATTTGGTGTGATGATTCTACATAACATGAAGTTTTCTTGAGCCAAGTATAAAGGTCCTACACCCAATTTAAATACACCAAAAAAAATCCCTAAAAAGTATTGTTTTTTAACCCCATTTTTGTGATTTTTTCGATTTTTACCATAGTAATCATGATTCATTCGATTTGTAACCAGCCATGTATTATAAAAAATGTAATTACAAACATTTTTTTCCTCTTCCATTTTCGCCTAAAATCAACTCTTAAAAAGATACATAATTAAATAGGAAGAAAAATATATGACATTTTCCCAATTTTTTTAACATATTGTGCCGTCAAAAGTTAAGCCCACGTTTTTTTTATGCGCATAGAAAAATTTTCATTTCTAGTGATATTTGAAAGCCAAAAAGCCAAAAATCTCCGTGGATATACGATTCACCCAAGCCAAAACAGATGCCGCCTGGTCTATTAGTGGTTATTAAGTTTTTAATTTAAGACAATAGGCTAATAGGGTGACAGTAGTTAATTTGACTTTTGCAGATATGGCAGATATGCATTTAATAACCACCCATCAATACATGTCGTTTTTTCTCCAAAACAGAGCATTTAAACAAAAATTTACAAATGAGATAAAATAATCAGAACAAAATTCTACATTTGATATTTCAAGAAAAAGCTGCATAGGCGTACTTAGAAATAATTGGAGGGGATAAAGGGTACTGCATCCCTCAGTTACCACCATTCGCCCTTCGATTTTTTTCAACAAAATTACATAATAAGTATGCCGGAATAAGATAAAAGTGCGTCCAAAATTTGAAGTCTATATCTCACAAAACAATGGGATTATTAACAAAAATAGTTTTTTAAAAAGAAACTTTAACACCCTGTATATTGAAACAGGGACGTCTAAATAAAAAATGACATAAGGAAAGTCGCATTATTTTTTTCCAAACAATATGTGGTTAATGGTATGGCCTTCTATTTTGGGACACCCTGCATTTTGTTAATACTGTCAACAATAATCAACAAAAACAAAATGCCCTACAAAAAAAAATGGTTCTAAATGGCTTGAAATATATTTTTGCAAATAAGTATTACTTGCAAAAATTGATTTTATTTTTACTATTATTTTCTCCTTAATATAAATTATTTACTACTGTACGGCCTTTCTATCATAAGACTTACAATATCATACAGAAATATTTTTCAGTAATGCCGTACATATTTGTCGATACAGGAGTGAGAAACCCCGGATGCAAACCCCTATAATCTGACCCTTATGGTTTCCGATCATTGAAAAATGGTCGGCATTGTTGCTAAAACATTATTTCAGATGTAAAATAATTTTTAAGTAATTATGCCGTTAAAAAACCACAGGTCGATATAAAAATTATTAATTTTATAAATTTGAAAAGCTTGCCTATATTTTTTTTTCACAAGTACATAAGTAAATTTTTTTAAAATCCAAAATATTATTAAAAAATCAATAAAAAAACGATTATTTTTTAAAATATTTGGAATTATTTTTATTTTAAAATTAAAATTACCGCTTCGAGATTCTAGCTGGCCATCGAAACGTCTTCTTTCTTTGTCTCTTTTTTCTTTTCGGAGTGTAAATTTTTTTGTGGTTTTATTCATGTTTATAACCGACAATCTTAAAGTTGTTCTTGTAACAAATGCACTTTCAAATTATTTTTACTAATCTTAAACAAATATTGTATGCCAATGGCTTCATCACAATTTTTGCATAAATAAATTGTTCAAACAATTGT